CACGATATAATTTGAACAACATTTACTTATTAATACTTATTGAGTTATTAACTTAATGTATAAAGCATAATACTATAATCCTATGTTTAAAATGTATTTTCTTGTGGGCGCCTGACAGCAACCTGTAAATCTGGCGTGACAGTGAACGTGTTAATAAGTAAATGTTGTTCAAATTATGTCGTGTTTGATGTAGTTTTCATCAGAAAAATCTCATCAATATGTTAAGAAAAATTTCGGGATAAAAAAAGGTAAAATTAAAAAAGTTGGTGTTTAAATCGCTTGGTTGCCTCGACTCACGTTTCATCCTTATCTTTTATTCGCTGTCCTTGTCTACGTTCGGCAAACTACAAAGGCGGGCGCGAGGCTCGAAAACGTAGTCCCTGACTCTACAAGTGTCAGGTTTAGGTTCCTTGCGGACTGACACTTGTGGAGAATTTACTGTACCCTCAAAATCTCTTGCAAAGTGTGGCAAGATGGATCAAACGCTCTTTCAACCCTTGTGCAGGCAATCAAAATGTTCACTCTTTGTTTCAAGCTTCAATATGAAAAATTGTTTGCATAAATTTTTATTTTCCGCGTAAAACCGTCGAAAAACCGGGGATCCGTAGCGGTTTCGCAATACATTCACGAGAACATGAATAATTGTTAACGGAAAATCTAGAAAGGTACCCGGTAGCCTGGCGCAAGGGTTGAAAGTGAAAAGGTTACGCTCTAACGCGAGAGCCTCGAACAGAGAAAATAAACAAGTGTCGTAGAAAATCCGAAATTTCGACGACCCTCTTTTTCATCGAAGTGTTCCTTTGTGCTATTATTTCGAACGAGACCTGGAACGGGAGAGCGAAGAAACAGAGGGATGATAGCGAGATACGAGAGAAGGCTCACCGGGGCGGAAAACTTTCCGCCTCCCGCGCGTATTGAAACAGTAATGATATGGCGAAGAAGTCGACGGGATAACGAAATGAAAACACGTGCTGAACATCCGAGAATCGTCCAACTTGCCGTGATGTTGCGTCGGCGCCGTTTATGCGTTATAGCGCTTCCGCCTGGGGAACGATACCAGCCCCGTGTACCGAAACTTCCGCAGCGTGACGCCCCAAATAAAAATCGGCCGCTGGATAATTGGCCGCGTAAACGCTCGTAAATACGCAAATTGTGTCGCCGCTGGCGTTTCGGGATGTTTGGCTACTTTTAATGAACCTACTCGAGCCAACAGTATTTTATACTTCGGGGACGTGTTCTTTCTTGGGGCTGCTGGGTTAACGGAAGTGACGTTGAAAAAATGTGATTTTCATTTTGAGTTTCATTTGGAAACGAGGATTTGGGAGCAATTGTTTCGTGAAACTTCCGTGATTTTTCGCGATGAAAGTAATTTTGAGCAATGTCTGCTGGTAATTTTAAGTAATGTTTAATTTTGTAAGACAAAGTAGGGTGAAATGCGAAGAATTGTGATGAAAAGTTTCGCGTGAAGTAGTGTAACGAAGGTTTTCCGAATTTGTTAGAAGTTTTTTTATGTATAATTGAAGGCCTTTTGCATTCGACGTAGATATTTTCTATATAATTGTAATTTCATAGATAATTGACAGCTTTTCGAATCCGACATCGATAGTTTCTATCTAATTGATAATTTTATAAATAATTGAAGAGTTTTCGAATTCGATAGAATTATTATAAATAATTGAAGGCTTTCCAAATCCGATAGAGTTATTTCATACATAATTGAAGACTTGGAATTCGATACAGAGATTCCAATTTTGCTGAAGAAACCTTCGCGATTTCTCATAATAAATGAAAAAAGTTCACCAATGTCGTCAAAATTGGCGAAATTGTTAAAACGGCCTGGGATTCTGCTTTTCAAATTTAGCCTGCAAACTCTATTTTCGCGTGAAAGATTTCCGCAATTTTGCACGACGAAGGATATTCCAATTTCGAGGAAATTGACTAATTTAGCGAAACTCAGTGTAGAAATGTTCCATTTCGAGACTCATTCAGAAGTAGTTCATAATTTTTCACCACGTAAATTTCGCTTTAATCTTTAGTTAGTTACTACATTACAGTAGAAATAAGTTCAGGTATCCGAAGAAGGAAGGCCAAGACGATCGGAGAGCATCACCGCAGCCTTCCTGATTATTCTCCTTGAAATTCCTACGTTCCGCTTGTAACGAGTTGGATTTTCCGCGCTGTGGTTCTCGAATCCTTGAAAAATCTCAACCAGGAAATTTTTGCAATTTTTCTAAAATGCACAGAATTTTTGAGATGTTGCGCGCGTTCAACTGTTGAATTTTCCACGAGAAACGTACGAATTTTCCAGTTCGATCCTTCGACAAATTTCTCTCGATTTTCATCAAAAATTCATAACCTCGAGCTTGGATAATTTTCATGATTATGTTTGTAATCTAATATCGGTGATTCCCTTGGAATTTGCTGGTTTACGATACGTGATGATTAAATATTAGTACAGTTTGCTCTCTTAGTGATGATGAAACTTTGTTGGGTACTACAGAAATTACAGGGAAACTGGTAAAATAGTTAGTATCCACGTAACTTGATAATATATTGACATTATTTGCGAGTTTAACAGTCAACTAGGAAATACAAAGTGCATTAATGGGAATTATTAAAGCATCGTGCAACTACTCGTATTGATACCTTCAAGTTTTCTGCGCCACTGTGCACTTTTGTTCCCCCAAATGTGTCGTTATTAGCTTCTTTAACGATACAACGCATATACTGGGTGTCCCGTTTAAATCGACCATCGCAAATGTCTTCGAAATGTTTCCGATAAAAGTCGAATGGTTACGAAGAGGACATAATTTCGTACGACTTTTTTAATAACAAAAGCACATTTTCCACGAATTGTATATTTTACTCGATATTACATAACATGAGCAGGATTTTAATTCGCATCTTTTAATTAAATGTGGTTATTTGGATCGCGTTAATTAATGTTAACGAGTTACACGATCCTTCGGTGTAGTTATTTTGAAAGAGAAGAATTTATGAAACTTCGTGATTGAAAAGTTACGCTTTTCTCTGTTATACGAAGGATATATTAAATTACAATAGTTGAACACGTGGGAGAGGAATAATTGTAAATACAAATTGTCACACAGTTACTTTTTCAATTTGTGCGATAACAGGTCAGCTTTCATACGTTTCAGCTTTTCACAGGCTGACTGCTCGGATGTACATATTATATCCTCACGTATTCCACACGAAACGCGTGTATTTTAGCAGACTGAACACACTGTGGCTGATATTTCTGTGCCACTTGAAACAATTACATGCTCATACTTGTATAATTCAAGGGGATGAAATATTAAGGAGAAATATAGCAAAATAATTTGGAATGTTTTAATTTTAAATGCTGGGTTAAATAAAATAAAAATTTCGTACTCTTTTTTTTTTAAATTAATATCTTCAAAAATTTTCCACCCCAAATTATTTCTGCCTGACTCTCATTTGAATCGCATTTGCAATAGTGGGTTACAAAAAAAAAGAGGATAATAATTTCATTCGCTTTCTTTAAAAATTAATATTTCCAAAATTTTCTATCTGACTCTCATTTGAATCACATTTACAATAGTGAGTTAAAAAGAAAGATAACAATTAATATTTCCAAAATTTTCTATTCCAAACTACATACAGTAAATTCTCCACAAGTGTCAGTCTGCAAGGAAGCTAAACCTGACACTTGTAGAGTCAGGGACTACGTTTTCGAGCCTCGCGCCGGCCTTTGTAGTTTGCCGAACGTAGACAAGGACAGCGAATAAAAGATAAGGTGAAACGTGAGTCGAGGCAACCAAGCGATTTAAATACCAACTTTATTAATTTTACGCCGAACGTAGACAAGGACAGCGAATAAAAGATAAGGATAAAACGTGAGTCGAGGCAACTAAGCGATTTAAATACCAACTTTTTTAATTTTACGTTTTTTTATCCCGAAATTTTTCTTAACATATTGATGAGATTTTTCTGATGAAAATGACATCAAACACGACATAATTTGAACAACATTTACTTATTCACTGTCACGCCAGATAGTGAACGTGTTAATAAGTAAATGTTGTTCAAATTATATCGTGTTTGATATCATTTTCATCAGAAAAATCTCACCAACATGTTAAAAAAAATTTCAGATGAAAAAAGGTAAAATTAAAGAAATTATATTTTTCTATTATGAATTGTCGAGACGTGAAATCTCGTAAAAGAAACCGAGTGGTGTAGCGTTACACGCTTGAGTGGCTGCGAGCGAGATAACATAGGCGCAGCAATGACGCAGACCTAGGCGTAGGACCATCTATACTGACACTTGTAGAATCCAAACTGACTGACACTTGTGGAGAATTTTCTGTATTTCTATTTCACTTTGCACATTTGAGAATCACATTTACTACAGTGGGTTAAGAAACAAAATTAGATAATTTTATAGCTATTTTTAAAAATTAATATTTCCAAAATTTTCTGTTCCAAACTACATATTTCTATTTGACTTTCCACATTTCAGAATCACATTTACTACAGTGGGTTAAGAAAAAGAAAAATAGATAATTTCGTACGCTGTTCTTAGAAACGAATATTTGCAAAATTTCCTACGAATCACATTTACAACGATGGACGAAAAAAAAAAAAACAAAAACAACGATCGGTAAGAAAATTTGCCGAATCATATCGCCGTCAGTGAGCATAAACAATCAAGCATTCACGATCATGAATCTCTGGGTGAAACCGGGGGTCGTTGGCCATAGGGAAGCGAAGTTTATTATCCCCCTTTGGTTCGTTCAACTCGCTCGTTCTTTAACGAACGAACACCATTTCCGTCAGGAAAAATATTATCCTTCGTCGCGGGCCGGCTTGTCACTGTTTCATTGGAAAATCGATTCGGAAAACATCGCTCCGGGGTGAAGGTAGCGGCGAGATTACCCGGACAGCAGTGAAACGCAAAAGATAAAATGTCGCGGCGAATTTTCGGCCGTTGAAAGGCACAACGAGAATCAGTCGGAATGACAGGTCATATCTCGTTCTGTTTCTTATTGTTCTTAACGGGTTGCTGTGATTGCACGCTACCACGAACAATATCATCGCCGGCGCGTCGCGACGCCAATGCTTACTGCCGTATCTGCGCCAATCACACCATGTGCCGATTTCCGGTACGTATTTCCGTGATTTTATCGTTAACCCTCTGTAACGTGATTTTTCTTCCTTCACCAGAACACAAATCTCCGTTGATTCTTTTATTTTTTCACTGTTTCATGGGAGAAGCAAGAATAAATGTGAAACATAATGTAATTATAAATTTTATTCACTTTTACTGGTCCCAAAAAGAACTCCTCACGGAGAGTTACATGACTTTACATTAACTTTTGCATAGAATTCCCGCAGCAAGAATACAGTAGCTGTTTATTTTGAAAATGGGGCAAATCTGTTTTTGAGAAAAATTAAGTCAATGTTGACAACAGATGGAACCTAACGTGATATTTTTATATGTAAACGATCTACAGTCGAAACAAGAAATGGACTTCGTTTCACTTTCAAATTAAACAGCTCATATGTAAGAAATAATTGTTACAAGAAATGTCATTATTATAAATTTTAGCTTTTTTTATTGATCCCAAAAAGAACTCCACGTAGAAAGTTTGCATTAACTTTTGCGTACGATTCCTATAGCAAGAATATATTAGCCGTTTATTTTGAAAGTCGGGCAAATCTGTTTTTGAGAAAAATTAAGTCAATGTTGACAACAGATGGAACCTAACGTGATCTCTTTATATGTAAACAATCTGTAGTGAAACAAGCAGTGGACTTGGCTCATATATAAGAAATAATTGTTACAGAAAAATGTAACAATTGTAAAAAAATTGGCTGGTAACAGTATAACAATACACTTAGTGCAACAGTATAACAATAAATAAATAAAACGAGACTGTGAAACGGAGATGAAAATCACATGGCGTTACAGAGGGTTAATTCATTTAATTTATTAATATACATCTTTTACTGTGTAAAGTTTGAATACAGTTTTATTATTCTATCCTGTGTGCAGATAAATCATTTATTTGTCGATCATTATATACCTATCTTTGCACTGTGAAGTCGCCTCTGACGTGACAACATTAATTTTCCCTAGAAGATCTCTAATCTTCTCAACGAATAATTATATTCTCTAATTTTCTCTGCAAGGTCTCTAATTTTCTCTGGAAGATCTCTGATCTCGATTAATTATATTATACTCTCCTTAAACTGTATTCATTCTTTTCCATTTCTTTTTTTCGTTTCAAATAAATTATTGCAAAGTGTTTTCCACATAGTTAAAATGAGGAAAATTGAAGTCAGTGTTGGCTGAGGGTAATTACGAAAATAATTACAGTGCAGAGAGTTGACACACGTCAGAATGATTTATTTCTTAAGATAATTATCACGATTTTCTAATATTGTACACTAAAAGGGAGCGGAATTGCGTAAAATTTATCGTATTGTCAATAACAGACGTAATTAAATATATCCATAACTTCAAAGTTAACGAAATTAATTACAGAATAATGTTAATTCTACGATAACGAACTGCGCAAATTTTAAATAATTCGTTTTACTTGTGCTTCCTTCTAATTAATTCCTCGATTAATCGAAACAAATAGGGAAAAGTTAACGATACGTTAATATTCACAAAATTGTTGGACAATTTTCATGCAGAAGTAGAATGAAGTAATTAGAAATGGAACGATTGATTTATCTTTATCGCGGTACTTTTTTCATGCAAAACATGTCAATGCTTCCTTTCGGTTCCATTCGATAAACTTTTTAATTAACGCAATAAATATCGATTACTCCGCGTGAAGACAATGATTTCGTTCATTTAATTAAACGACACGGCGAATCAGCAATTGCTGACTAAGATCATTGGTCATTAATCATTCGCTGTTTACTTTTCACTGAGCTTCGATTAAATTTACAGATACTTTATCAAATTGCCTATCGGTAAATCATGAAAATTCCCTCTATATATGTACATCCGTGAAAATGCATGTTATACTCGGGGAAAAAAACGAATCGACGTGAAAAGATCGATGAAACTAAAGTGGAAATTGCAGGAGAATTGGCGACCGAAAAATTTACGTAATTATTCCGCATTGTGCAATTTTTCTACGTTGACTGACAATAGAATTTTTATCGTACGTATCACTTGTAATGGTGTTAGTATTATTATTAGCAATAATTAGACTGCGGATTTTTATGCATTTATAGGAAATTTAAAGGCACGAAATTGCACACAATGCACGTAATATGAAAAAAATACCCAAATTATAGTGCTGTTTATAATACCTGGTAGGTGAAATAATCGTTTGCCGAAGTTCTATTTTCTTTAGAAATAAATATTAGTAATATTAATTTTCTACAAAATATATTGGAATTAGACTCGATGAAATTCTCTTCAATTACAATTAATTAATTAAACCAACAATTTAGTCCACAAAAATTCGATAACTATAATTTTTGCTTATTCTTAAACTCAATCAAACCTTCTGCAACTATAATCTACAATTACTTCTTAAAGCACAATCACCGCCTTTAAATATTCGTTCATAAAACTCTCAATTAAGGCGACAAAAATTCAACGACAATTTTCACTTATCCCGTGAAGTATTAGATTGGTGCAAATGAAATGTCGCTTTTTCAAAAGCTGAAATTGCCAGGTCGATGGCGTATATTAAATTTTGTCCGATCATAAATTTTGATAGACAATAGTCAAGAAGAAGGAATTTGCTGTAGTAAAAGAATTCATAATGTTATACAATTGCTTCGACATTGTTATCCGACGTGATGAACGATCGGGATATTCGCGGAATTATTTTTAATACAAGTTTAAACTTGGAAAAATTGCAGGAAAAACTGGTGGAAATATACATTTATCATTTCAAGAAGATTATATAAATGTTAGGTGTGCAAAATTCAAGATTGACGACTTTTCGTTGGAAAATCAGAAGGTTCGTCGATGATAACGCTTTGAGAAAAATTACCGACAAAAATCCTCCTCTATTCACTCTTACTTTCCCCAACAAATTAGAATTTCTTCAATTTTTTAACAAATAAATAATTCCAAAATGAAGACACTGTAAAAGCAGCATTTGTTAATGCCCGTGGTTGCGGCGATCAACTTTCGAGCTTTGTGGATGTTTGCACGATGTTGCGCCGTCTAGATACTGGTTCGAAGGACCACCCAAATGATTGGGACTTGTAAAAACTGATCTATGGTATCGCATGATGTGTGGTGGTTGAACGACTACTCGACGACTCAACTCTCCGACGTCGCGTCTCGGACGTCTGTGAGAGGGATTTTTGTTGTGACACGCTGATTGGTTAATGGTTAGCAATTGCATTTGTCAATCAGCGTGTCTAATATCGTCTTTACCGCCCTTCCAGTGCACCCTTAGCGCGCTGTCACCTTGGAAGGGTGCGAGACGGTCGCGAGGGGTGGGCGGAAGGTCCCAAAAATCTGGAATTTCCTCCGGGTGACTAATCGGCAAGCGGACCGTTACGGAAATTCGTGGTTTATGGTATGTTCGTAGGCTATTGAGCGCGAGGGACACAAATTACTAAAAATCTAGCAAAGCAATTCTAGTGACCCTCGCAGGATGTAATTAGACCCGTGCAAGCAATAAACGAAAATCCTCAACTGAAAAATAACCGTTCCCGGTCGATCGTGACATAAACCGTTTCTACAGAAAACCGAACAGCATTCAAAGATCAATGATTTTCATGCATTTAGAACAACGAAACTGATACATAAGCTGATACATAACTAATAATCTTCCTTCGATCACAATCCACAATTACTTCCGTAAAGGAACAAAAAATTGCACACACCGTTTGAACATCGACTAATAAAACTGCCAATTAAGGCAGCAAGAATTCAATCGTAATTTTTACTTTTGCCAAAAATCAAATCGAATTTCCTTCGATGGTAATCCACCATTGCTCCAGTAGACGTAATCACATCTCCCCGACATCGATTTCCGCTATTTTCCCCGGCGAGTTTCCACGAAAATTTTTATTCACTCCAAAGGGAGCGAGCGAGAGGAAGATAGAGAGATGGCGAGGACGATACGCGGAAAAGCGGTGATAATAAATGCGAATGCGGCCGAGACCAGTGAATCGAGAATATAAAAATCCATCGGCAGGTGCGAATTTTGCGCAACAGGAAACTCGGGAACGACGACACCGCTCGTTATTGTAGGGCCCCGGTGTCGCACGCACACAATGCGTCTATTCCAGCCCGAAGGATCACGAAGAATAGCAGGGGAACGCGTTCAAGCCGGGATTTCATGGGTGAAATCTTGAGACGAGCGTTAATTCGCCGCGTCAGATACGCGCCTCCGCCGGATATACGACGTCGCGAACTGCTGATGAGAGTGGAAAATTGCAGGGGAACAAAGGGACTTTTACCTTGTTAAATTTTTTTAATAATCGTCCGCTTGAATTGTTCTATTTAGATTTTGTAATCTGCTTTCCTTTCATGGAAAATAGGAAATTCTAGAGATGTAACATTTTCTCTGTGGAATTTTCTTCAACGATACTGTAAACGTTCGACTCCCTTTTTTTTTTTTTTTTTGTTGAATTTTCTGTGGTACTGCAAATTGCTTTCTCTCGATGAAAGTGGAAATATATCGACAAATGAGATCTCGTTTCTTCAATTTTCTTTTTTTTTAATTGGTTATTTAATGTCGCGTAATGGGTTACCAGCGACTTAACGTCTAGGTTCACAGTTTCTTGCACAATTTGGTATGCTTTAAGTAGCTCAGTAAGTTCTGAATCGATTTGCAGTCGACAGACAACTATTGACAACTGGTGGACTATTTTTTTATAGGTTTTGTGTTCTCTGTTGAAAAACAGAGAAGTGCGAAGATCCTTGCTGATTTCTATTTATTTAGCGTTATTTTACATTGTTCGGTTTCTGGAAGGATTCGAGTTTCAATCTAAGCAAAGGTATTCTGATCCTATCATCCTTTGTAATTCATCGGTTTTAAATTTCATTTTATACGACTTCATTTTTGGAAGGTTTCGAATTTTCGATCGAAGCAAAGGTATTCTAATCCTACGTTATTTTTGAATATAAGGAAGATAATTTAGGAGTTGTTGGAAAAACCAAATGTTC